ACTGGTCGATGAAGTACATCCACCGTCCAATCGTGCTGCTCACCGTGTCCTGCGTCGTGTAGTAGGTCAATGGGTTATTGTCCGTGACCCATGTGAACCTACGACGCCCAAGAAGGAAGTGCCGCCATCGCTTGAGAGCCATGACGAACGCAAGCAGCTCCTTCTTCCTTGCATCATCCAGAGAATTGATGGGAGGCACTTTGTGGCTGAAATACTCCACAGGGTGTCAATCCTCGCCGTCGTGCTGCTCCAAGACTGCCCCAATGCCATAACCAGAAGCGTCAGTCGTCACTCTCGTAGGCAGTGTGGGGTCGTAGATGCTAAGGGCGTGTGCCATGAGCATGGCCGTCTTGAGTGCTTGGAAAGCCTGGCGCGCGTCGTCATCGAATACGAATGGCACCTTTGGCGATTATAGTCTCGTCAGAGGTGCGGCAATCCTTGAGTATCCGGTGATGAAACGCTGATAATAGCCTGCCAACCCCATGAATGAACGAACGTCCGTGGTGTTGGTGGGCTCGGGCCATACGCGGATGGCCTCGATCTTGTCCGCAAGCGGACGGATGCCTTGCGGCGTCACATAGTGTCCCAAGTACTCCAGCTCTTGCCGCGCGAATTCGCATTTGTCGCGGTTGGCTTTGTACTTGGCCTGTCGTAGCCGTTCCAGAACGGTGCGCAGGTGCTCCACATGCTCGTCCAAACTCCGACTGTACACCAACATGTCGTCGAGGTAGATGAGTACGAAACGATCCAGCATGTGTCGAAACTCTAATGTCATAGCCGCCTGGAATGTGGTTGGGGCATTCGTAAGGCCAAACGGCATGACCAGCCATTTGAAATGCCCATATCGCGTTTTAAACGCGGTCTTGTATCGGTCCTCCGGGCGAATCTCAAGTTGGTGATAACCCGACTTGAGGTCCAACTTGGAGAAGAACTTGGCACTGCCCAGTCGCTTCAGGAAATCGTCGATGCGTGGGAGAGGGCCGGCGTTCTTGACCGTCTGCGCGTTGAGCTTACGATAGTCGATGCACAACCGCAAATCCTTGTTCTTCTTCCGGACGAAGAGAACAGGCGCACCGTATGGCGAAGAGCTAGGTCGAATCCAGCCTTTCTCCAGAAGGTCGTCGAGTTGTGCCCGTAGCACACTTAACTCTTCCTCGCTCATTCGGTAGATGCAACCACGCGGAGGTACAGCCCCGACCTCGAGGATGATCTCGTGGCGAATGGGCCGATCCGGTACTACTCCGTGCGGGGCCTCGAACACGTCACTATAAGTGGCGAGAAGCTCAGTGATGCGTGGGTCCGATGATGCGTCCGTCAATGGGGTGTCCTGGGGCGGAAGGGCGTGGAGAAAACACACGCCCATCTCCTCAATGTCATCCTTGATGATGAAACCTCGAATACTTGCGGCTGACACCACGTGACAGCTGATCGAAGGGTGAGGAGGAGGCACCGTGCATGGGACTAGTACTCCATCCCGGTCACGAACGTGAACGGTGCGGCGGTAGAAGTTCACCGGGTGGTCCTCACTTCGCAGTCATGACATGCCCAAAATCATGTCGAACTTAGTGTCCAGAATGTCGAAGGACACGGCCTCGCGTGCATGCGGGGCGAAATACACAGGGACGTTGTCAATGCACCGGTCAATTGATTTGTGCGTGTGACCATCGGCCAACGTCACGTGTGTCGGATGGGACTTCCTCCTGACGCGTGGGCCAAGGCCGGCGCGTACCATGAAGTCCTGACTCATGTAGTTGCGAGTTGCACCGCAATCGATCAAGGCGCTGCAGGTCGCCTCTCCGATCTGAATGCGTACATACAACAATGGTGCGTCAATGTCGTTGTACCGTTGTGTCTTGAACTCGCGGTCGATCTTCGCGATGTACTCCTGAAGGTCGACAACCTCTACTCCGGCGTCCATCAACGGAGTTGGTACTACAGTGTGCAAATACTCCCGCAATTGTGCCATGAGCACATT